GGGTTTAGTCTACTTCTATATCCTTCCCTTTAAGGCTCAGGGGTCCAGGATTATCTTCTGTATCTGTGTTAACTGGTTTCCCTTTTCTTTGTTGAAGAGGGTCTGTGCATTCTTTCTGCCTAGTCCACCATCTTGCCCTGTGCAAAGATTTTGCCTCCTTCCATGTTCTTTTGATGTTTCTTGTATCATTCAGTATTTTGCCCTTAGAACCTTTCAGTATCACAACTCAAGTCTTAATTTTTTTCTTCTGTTATTTCAGCTTGAGAAATGCCAAGTATGTTCTTCCCATTTGGTTTTCTAACTCCAGATCTCTGCATATTTCACTGTAATAATTGACTTTATCTTCTCAAGCTGCTTTGTGAAATCTTCTGTTCAGCTGTTTTATCTTGTCATTTCTTTCGTTCGCTTTAGCTACTCTCCGTTCAAGAGCAAATTTCAGAGTTTCTTCTGACATCCATTTTAGTCTTTCCTTCCTTTCCTGTCTGTTTCATGACCTTTTGCTTGTTTCATTTATGATGTTCTTGATGTTATCCCATAATTCACCTGGTTTTCAATCACTGGTGTTCAGTGTGTCAAATCTGTTTTCAGATGGTTTCTTAATTCAAATGGGATAGAATCAAGGCCATATTTTGGCTCTTGTGGATTTGTTTTAATTGTCTTCAGTTTCAACTTGAACTTGCATATGAGCAGTTGATGGTCTGTTCCACAGTCAGGTTTGGCTGAAGTTACAGAGCTTCTCCATTGCCTCTTTCCATAGATGAAGTTGATCTGATTCCTGTGTATTCCATCTCGTGAGGTCCACATGTATAGCCACCATTTATGTTGTTGAATAAAGGTATTTGCAATGAATAAGTCATTGGTCTTTCAGAATTCTGTCATGCAATCTCTGGCATCATTTCTGTCACCAAGGCCATATTTTCGAACTACTTGTGATTCTTCTTTGTTTCCAACTTTCACGTTCCAATCACCAGTAAGAATCAATACATTTTGATTGCATGTTTGGTCAATTTCAGACTTCACAAGTTGGTAAAAATCTTCAATTTCTTTGTTGTTGGCTTCAGTGGCTGGTGTGTAAATTTGAATAATAGTTAATACTGGTTTTCCTTGTGGGCATATGGATATTATTCTATCACAGTCCTTCAGGATAGATCTTGAAACATTTTTTGTGATGATTAATGCCACCCATTCCTCTTCAGTTTGGCATTCCTGGCATAGTAGATCATATGGTTATCTGATTCAAAATGGCCAAAACCTTTCAATTTCAGCTCACTGATGCCTGGGATATCAATCTTTACGTGTTCCATTTCATTTTTGACAACTTTCAATTTTCCCAGATTCATATTTCATAACATTTCATTTTCCAATTATTAATGGATGTTTGCAGCTGTTTCTTCCCATTTTGAGTCATGCCACATTAGCAAACGGAGTTCCTGAAGCTTTATCCATCCACGTCATTAAGGTTGACTCTTATTTGAAGAGGCTGCTCTTCCCCGGTCGTATTTTGAATTCCTTCTGACCTGATGTACTCATTTTCCAGTGCTATCTCATACAGTGTTTCAGGGCATTTCATGATGTTTGCCGGTAACATATCAGATGGTGTTTCACCACTATTGATAAGGTTTTCATTGGCCAGTTCTTTGAGAAGTGTATGGCCCTTTCCTTCTTCTGAGTCTGTTTTAGTCTGGAAGCTCTGATGAAACCTGTCCCTCATGGGTGACCTTGCTGTTATTTGAAACACCGGTGTCTTAACCTCTAGCCTCACAGTCACACACGTGCCACCACAGTACAACAAACTGATAGACAAATGTTAAAAATATATGTGAATAAAATTAGCCATTTTAACCATTTTTAAGTGTACAGTTCAGCGGCATTAAGTTACATTCACAGTGTTGTGCAGCCATCACTGCTATTTCCAAAACCTTTTCATTGTGTAAAACAGAAACTCTGTTCCCATTATGTAGTAACTCCCTCCTCCTTCTCCCTCCAACTTCTGGTAACCTTCATGTCCTCTCTGTTTCTGTGAATCTGCGTATTCTAGAGATTTCTTTTAAGTGGAATCAAAGTTTTTGTCCTTTTGTTGTACTATGGAATGAATTAGAAGGTAGAACAGAAGCACTGGACACATTCTTAGGCCAGTTAACTGGGATATTCCATGAAACTAAACCTCCAAACCAAGGAACCAAAACCCATTAGGTTTGTGATTGTACATATCTTTTTTAAATTTTTTTTTTCCCATTGTTGTCAGTGTATTTCTCATACAACTTTTGCCAGTTCAACTATTTACAGGTATATAACTTATTGACAGTAATTACATTAATTAGCTGTGCAGTTTACCCTTAATCATTGTGATTTTTCATCACCATAATCCAAAACTCAATATTCCATAAGCAATAGCCTCTCTGTTGTACCTCTCACTTGACCCTGGTAACTACTGAGAAACTATGGTCTCTATACATTTGAGAGTCTTATTTCTATTTGAAGTAATACAATATTTGTCCTTTCGTGATTGGCTTATTTCACTTGACATAATGTCTTCAAGCTTCAACCATGTTGTAGCATGTATTAAGACTTCATATGTCTTACTGAATAGTACTGTACTTTTACATTAATAATGTGTTCATTATCATTATAAGTTTTTGCATACCATACAACCTCCTATTCATTATTTTCATAAGCATACTATACCAGTATTTTTTTACAAGGGTGACCTCAATTCCAGTTTTTTAATTCTGTCTAATGAATTTGATGTTAAGTCTTTACCTTGGTGCCTATTGACAGAGGTTTGGTTCCCAGCCACTCTCAGCATACTCTCAAGTTTCTAAAGCAGCCCTTCTCCAGGCTCTGCAATTGCTTTCTCCAAGGCAGGAAGAAATCACATTTCTGCACTGGAAACAGTCCTCATGAGGGTTGCTGGCCCAGAAGGTACGTGGGTATGGATACCCAGGCCAGCGAGGCCACTCACTCAGGTGAGGCCAGTGTGTTATAGCCACACGCTTTTTACCCTGCCATCCAGCTAGCTGGAGGCTGCGTTCGGCCATTTGAATCTCCCACCTGTTGAGGGCTGCAAACACCAAGGCGTCGCACATCCCTCACTCAGATGAGATGGGTCAGGCTGGCTGCCTGCGTCTCCCCCAGGGCTGGGGCAGTCAATACTCGTTTTAACACCATCCTGCTGCCTTGCTTGACATGGGGCTGACACTGTGAACATGGGCCCAAGTGAGCAATCGGCCCCTGCCTGTTGTGGGACCAGCCCGTGCTCAGACTTTGGTAGCCCAGCACACAGCCCTTCACCCCACCCTCAGCTTGTTTCTGGTGCAAGTACCTGGGCACAGATAAGCTACAGTGAACTCTCAGGCCTGGCCACAAACTGTGGCAGAGGAAACACAGATTTCAGTTTTTTATTTTCTGAATACTGGGATATTACCAAACTCGATCATAACTTCTTGACCATGGCTTACAACCTTATTATACAAATATGATGAAAATTAACATTTTTGGACCATAGCATGAAGGTGAATGAGACTGAAGTTCACTCTGAAAATGTTAGAAAATGCCAAAAGGGTGTGGAGGCAGCATCTTCTGACCTCTTCCAGTCTCACAAGGGAGAAACAGAATCACCATCAACAGCCCAAGTCTTATTCTTATGAGTCCAAACATGCCACCACCCTCCAGCCTTTTACCAATTCTGACACCAACCATCCCTTTCACAGCACTCACTACTTCTCTGTTGGGTTGGATAATTCCTAGCAACGGCCACCCAGAACTCACAATACTGACAATTACAGGATTTATTAGGGAAATGACAGGCTACAATTCAGGTTCAGGAATGCACTCAGGATATAGTTCTTCAATCAGGACAGTCTCCCTTCTGCTGTGTCCTCAAACCTGCCTCTCTGGCCCTTGGTCCTTTGGCCTGGCCTCTGGCCTGCTTGGGCAAGTGTTACAAAGTTCTTTTAACTCTGCTGGTTAGGTACACCTACGTGCACCCCACTCTGCCAGCAAGCTTCCTGCCCAAGGGCATACAGCTTTCTCGTTCCATGGGCTGGAAAGCCTGCCACTCTGTCTTGTGCCTCTTGGTTCCACTGCCATTGTCTCTCTGCCAGGCATCTCTCTGCCAGGCATCTCTCTGCCTGGTGTCTCTGCCGAGGAGGTCTAGTGCAGGGATTTCGGGTCCAAGGACACACTCTACTTTACCTCCAGCTCTTTTCTCTTTGATGGTAGTGAGATCCACCTTTCTGTCCCTAAGAAGGCTCATTTTAAGCCTGGCAAAGTGATAAAACCAACCAGTCCCAACATCAGAGTTCTACACATCTTATTTGCATGGTCCCACTCAGTAGTCAGTGGGAGTTACAAAAACTGGCTAGAAAAGCCATACCAAGTAATTCACTGCACCACCAAAGACATGCACGGTGTATGGTGCACAAAGCTAGAACTTTTTTGCATAGTTTTGTCATTTCCACAACTCAAAGATTAGAGAGTAAACTTAAGGGGCAGTGTGTGTATGTTAATGGGGGATGAATAGCTTGTGAAAATGCTTGCACAACTCAAAAAAATGTAACAAATGTCACTGAATCATACATGTAGAAATTGTTGAATTGGTGCATGTTGTATGTATATTCTCAATAACAAAAAAAATAAAACAACTATGTATATATATTTTGAAAGAAGCATTTAAATCAGTCACATGTATCAGCTACTTTCCAAAGTTTCCTCTGCTTTTTGTTGTTGCAGATTTTGACATGATGGCAGGAAGGCATCAGAATAGTAGTTTTCCTCTTCCAGGGGTTCAGTCGAGTGGTCAGGTACACGTATATGGAAATTGTTCAGATAGTGATGTGTTGGAGGAGGATGCTGAGATGTATGAGCTTCGATCCAGAGGAAGAGAAAAAGTCCGAAGAAGTACATCAAGAGATAGACTTGATGACATTATAGTATTAACAAAAGATATACAGGAAGGAGATACTTTAAATGCAATAGCCCTTCAATATTGTTGTACGGTAAGTTTTAATTAAATTTTGCATAAATTATTTGTTCATTAGACCAAATTGAAGTAAGTGTCCTGTCCTTTTATCTGTCCCTTCCTTTCTTCCCTTTTTTTTTTGCTTTTTTCTTCTTTCCATAGAAATCTGTCTCATGTTGGTAGATACTAACTTTTTAAAATTTTAAATGAATACTTGAAGTTCTGTTTAATTATTAACCCACAATTCTATTTTCAGTATTGAATAACTAAATATGATATCATTTTGTCCTTAATTAGGTTGTAAGAGAATATAGATATATGTAAGGAGAAAATTTTTCGTGTCTCAATTTCTTGAGATAACTAATGTTAACACTTTGGTGTGCTTTCCTTACCTTTTCCTATGCTCTTGAACATACAGTATTGAGAGAAAAGAGTTGGTAATTCCAATGTTTTTAAAATTTGTTTATACTAAGTATATTATTCTGTAAGTTGCCTTTTTCATTTCTTACTATATCCTGGCCACCTTTCATAGCCATATAGCTCTAACTTGTTATTTTAAATAGCTGTATAATGTTGCATGGAATTATTAAACTGTTATCCTACTTATAGGTAGTCAGAATTTTCTCAGTGTTTGGCATTGTGTAGTGAGTATCATGATTATATTTTTAAATGGCAGTACCTTTATAGCTGTAGGATGGATTTGCAAAGGTGGGGATGTTAAGTCAATGGAAAGGTATATTTCTAATTTTAAACCCATTTGTTAAATTCTTTGTTGTGTCTATCCTGGGAAAAGGTTGATCCATAGAGTAAAGGAACACCGTTGTAAGATTTACAACCAAATTGATGCCAAATGGTAGAGAAACCTGCTGGTGAATTGAAGAAGGTCCAGTAAAGAGGTTATTGAAATAATTAAGACAAAGATGATAAGGATTTAGGCTAAATATTGATGATACCAAAACAAAATCCATTGCTGTCGAGGCAATTCTGACTCATAGTGAGCTGATAGGGTAGTGTAGAACTGCCCCATAGGGCCTCCAGGGCTGTAAATCTTTATGGAATTAGACTGCTTCATCTTTCTCTCCCAGAGTGGCTGGTGGGCTTGAACTAATGAACTTTTGGTTAGCAGCTGAACAGTTTAACCACTCTACCACCAGGGCACCTGATAAGAAATGTACTTGGGGTGAATCACAGGATATATCAGCTGGTTCCTTATTTGGAATGAGGAATGATGTAAGGACATTGGCCTTACATTACAGGAAATAAGGCATTGGCCACAGTAGTAGAAAAGATGATATAACAGATACTTGTGGAGTTGAGATATAAGCAGTCCTTTTGCCAGGTGCTCAACTAGCAAAATTAATCTTAAAAAAAGATTTATCATCATTTTAAAATACAAAAGTTAGTGCTGTATTCCATTTAAAAATACTCAGTTTTAAGAATTACTAAAAATATACCTGTTATAAAACAGGAGGCTGGCGGTTCAAACCCACCAGCCACTCCTTGGAAGGAAGGTTGGGCAATCTACTTCCATAGTGATACTGCCTTGGAAACCCAAGGAGGGGTCGCTATGAGTCGGGTCTGACTCAACGGCACTTAACAACAACAACAACATTATAAAACAGTTATAGAAAGCCTAAGGTTGGAATTCTAAAAGCACCCAATAAACTTAGCATCACATTGGGACATTCAGAGATAACTTAGGTGGATAATAAACCTTGGAAATCTAGTTCAGAAAGAGTATTGAGTAGTCATTGATCAGAATATAGAATACTAACCAAAAGAACATATAAAGAGAATGGAATTAAGCTTTGGGTTTGTCAGTAAATATTCCTTTGCTTTAAGAAAAAAAGGTTTCAGAGCATAAAACAACAAAGCACTTCACCTTTACTGTCTTGCTTTCTAATTATTTTTCAATCCTTCCTCCTACCCTACCTGCATACATACTCTGGGGAAATTGATTTTTTCCTGTATGACCTCTTTCAGTTTTCATTGGATTTGATCACTCATCAGCATTTGATTCTGTTTACTGATTTTCCTCTGAAAACTCTCTGCTTGACTACTTTGATTCTGCACATTTTGATTTTCCTACTTTTAGTAACAGTCAGCATTTACATACGTAACACAGTCTGTGTCTCATTATCCTAAGTGCTTTGCTTACATTTCATTCATCAGTCTTCACATGACCTCTGTAAGGTAGGTAGTATCATTACTGCCATTTTAAGGTATGGAAATTGAATCAGAGTGGTTTAACAGTTTGCCCCAGATCACACAGCTAAAAAGTGTTAGAGCCATGCTTCAAAGCTAGACAGTCCATGTTTTTTTTAGTCACTCTTAAACTTTTTATTTCTTTTACTTAACATACCCCTTAAATATTGGTATTCTCCAGGGATCTTTCCCATGTCCTATTTTTCTCTTCATTCTTTTTCTAGTGAGTCTATCTAGTCTGGTGACTTCAGTTACCATTTTTACTGATAATGCACTTGTTTTCATCTCTAGTTCAGAAACTTCTCCTGACGGTCAGACATACATCTACAGCGGCCTTGGAACATCACCACTTTCATGTCCCATAAGCGCCTCTAGCCTCAGACTGTCTAAAAGCTCTGCTCATCATCTTCTCATTCTCCATAGTGTCACATATCTCAGTAAATGGCATCATCATCCATAGAGCTTAGAAACTTAGAAAGCTAAGTTTCATACTAGATTCACTTTGTTATACCAATCAGGTGACAAATGATCAGGGCTTAGATTAAAGCACTGATGGAAAATGATGGATGAGATTAATATTTTAAAGCTAATGGGAGAGCCTGGCATACCAATTAGTAATCAGAGAAACAGGCTCCTTCTCCCCTTTCACAGTGGCAGGTAGATAGGATATACACACAGGTTGAAGACAAAATATTGGGAAAGCTTAAAAAAATGACTAATCTTGGGGAGAGTTGAATTAATATATACTGAGAAATTTGAAAAAACGGCTTCAGATCAACTGAGTAGGTTAATTTAGCATATGTTCCCAATTCTAGGGAATGTTTTTCCACACATTTTAACATCTATGATATTGGAACAATGGTATCTCCAATATTTGGCAAAGTTTTTTTTTCCCCCTTAAAGAGATGTGAAATAACAATGCATCTTCAAGTTAACTGTATTTTAGTTTTAATAAAATAATGGCAATTTAATTGGGTAGTTGACATTTACCTATACTGTACTTGCCAAATTGAAAGAACATTAAGTATCTGAAATCCTTCCTCCGCAAATTGTTTACAAGAGGTTGAGGTTTGGCATTTGTTCATGATGCATAATTAAGGGAAATAGCAAAGGATCCTAGAATCTAGCTAGATACCTGGCATTAGTGTTAATAATATATGAATGGTATTAAAAATCAGTCATCTCCCTAAGACTGGTAGGTCAAAAATGGTATAGAACTGGTAATATACTACGTATCTGGCTGTGGCAACTTAACACTAATAGTTAAACTCAATTTTTTTTTTTTCCTCCAAAAGTAACAGATGAATGACTACTGTTACCTCTCTTTTGATTTAGAATTCAGATGAATTTTTTTTTTTACAGGTAGCAGATATCAAGAGGGTTAATAATCTCATCAGCGATCAAGACTTTTTTGCCCTTAGGTCTATCAAAATTCCAGTAAAAAAGTTTAGTTTATTGACTGAAACACTTTATCCTCCAAAAGGAAGACAGACTTCACGTCCTTCATCTGTTCCATATGCCCCAGAACAACAGGAAATTGTGCCAGCTAATGATTCTCTTTCTTCCAGTGAGTCAGCTGGTAGCTTTTTAAAAGAAGTGGACCGAGACATAGAACAAATAGTAAAATGTACAGACACCAAAAGAGAGAACCTTAATGAAGTGGTATCTGCCTTAACAGCACAGCAAATACATTTTGAACCTGATAATAAAAATACTCATCGTAAGGATCCCTATTACGGAGCAGACTGGGGTATAGGATGGTGGACAGCAGTAGTGATCATGTTGATAGTAGGTATAATAACACCAGTATTTTATTTGCTGTATTATGAAATTTTAGCTAAAGTGGATGTTAGTCACCATTCAACAGTGGATTCTTCACATTTGCATTCGGAAATCACACCTCCATTGCAGCACAGAGAAATGGAAAATGGAATCGCCCCAACAAAAGGAATACACTTTGGCCAACAAGATGATCATAAACTATATAGTGAAGATTCTCAGTCACCTTCTGCTCAACACAAAACGTAGCAATTAGCTCATATCACTATTCAGTGATTACAAGAGCATCTAGAATATGGTGAATCAAGTAATATATATTCAATAACACAAGGCAGTATTTAGGGAGGTTGAAGATGCTTTATTTTTGTTTTTCACTCTTTTTGAGCCATCTACAAGTGGACTGTGTATAAAATCTCCACATTTGCTAGTTCATGTTGAGAGCAAGCAGTCTATATCACTACTTAAAGTGGAAATGAGTTTAAATATGTTTATGAAGTTCTAACCTTGGGAAAATACATAATTTTTCTTATTCAAGACTAGTAATGGTTAAATTTTATTCTTAAGGAATTGGGTTTTTTTGGTTTAAAGTTATTATTAATTAATGTGAGTGATAGCACCAGATGTCTACAATTGAAGAAAATTTATTGCTTTAAGCCATCAAAATAATTAGTTGCAAAAAAAGTTGATTGACTTCAGAATTACTTATGATAGCACATACTTAATACTGCATTTTAAAACTTTTTAATAACACAACACATGCAATATGAAAATATAAGTAGAAAGAAACAAAAGGGAAAGTAGTGTGTAATTTCTGTAATAGAAGGTTAAGAAATAGACTGAATAGTTGTAAGTCCCCAAAATAATGTGTTATATAGTAGAGAAGTTGCCTTTTATCACTAGAACACTGGAATAGGTCAAGACCTAAAAGTGATCTTTGTCTCTTAAAAAACACTTTGCTTCCCGTAAACAGATCCTTTAAACTCTGCTTCTGCTTCTGTTTCTAAAATTGTATTTGCCTCCTATGTTTGAAAGAACTTTTGCATTTCTTGATGAAAAGTGTTATACTTGTAAAAATGAGCATTATTTAGGAAATAATTCCTTACATACTGTGATAAATCATTGCTGTAACATGCCTTAATTATATTTAATGCCTTAAATTTTTATTTTATGTAAACTATTACAATTTTTAGAATTAAAATGGATCATTATTTCAGAAGGTCCACTCAGATTCATTACATAGGCTGTGTAAATTTATTTCCACTTTCACTAGCAACCACAAGTTAACGGGGTTAAAACAGATCTGTATTGTCTGCCTTTGAGGTTTGTTGTAGAAAATTAAGCAAAACAAGGCCTTTTGCATTAGCAATAGCAAAATTCTTTATTTATTGATTCATTAACCTGTTTTTCAAAGAAAAAAAACATATGAATTAGACTTTTCCTAGATTATAGCATCAAATTATGGAACAGAGACTAAAGTGTGGATTGGCCAGAAGGGTTTGATAATGCTGCTTTAAAACAGATCTGCTCTCTGGATCAGCCACTCTGAATAAAAGCATTTTCATTGATTCCATCATTAAATTATTTTAAGTATGTGTATTTAAAATGTAACCAAAATGATGCCATAGAAGTGAGGTAAGTGGAGTCTGGACTGCCTGTTTTGTGTATAATAAAGTGTGTATCTTAAGATACCTAATACCACTCATTTTGGGGCATTATTTCCTAATTTTTCATGTTTCTGCTTTCAGATCATAAATTCCAATTGATACAGTGTGGTAAATATATATATTTATATAAGTAAAACGGAACTTTATGTACTTCAAGGAGCAAAGCATCATTAAAAAGACAGGACAAGGAAGTAAAACAAATCTTTTGCATATTTAAGTGAACCTTACACTGTTCTCAAAAAGTTGTAGCCATTTGATTGCGTTTTGAAATTTTTAAATTCTTTTAATGTGCCTTGGGATCCTTAACAGGAGTATGATCTTTCTAACCTATAGTACGTCTTAACTTAGTTTACATTGTACTAAGCCTGCTGAAGAAATCAAGTTTTAGGGAAGAAAATCCAAATTGTTTTAAGGTAGAATGGACTAGATATCTTTTGAAGAACATTGTTTACCTCAAATTGATAAAATTATGGTGAGTCAATGATTCATTTTTGCTAATAGTACTTTGAAATTATAATGGAGGGGTCTGGTTTCCAAAATAACTTATTTTAAAAGTAAGGAGCTGTACTGAATACTTGTTGGTTAAAAATTCTTTGTCCTCCAGAGTATCTTCTGAAGGAAAAATAATATATCCTTATGACACAATCAGGCAGTTTTATTTGTATATATTATTTATTTTTAGTTAATTATAATTTGAGTTATATATAATTCTATATGTATGGTATATACCTACAGAATTATAGTTTCTAATCTTTAAATGTCAATTAAAAAAAAATCATAAGCATGTAATAGTATTATTTTAGCTTTTAAAGTATATCAAATTTGTAGCAAATGCAAATTACTTTATGTACCTGTAACATAAGCACACAGTTATTTGATAATGTAGATTTTAATGGAGCTCTGGTAGCATAGCGGCTAAGACACTTGCCTGCTAACCAGACGGCTGGCGGTTCAAACCCACCAGCCACTCCTGGGAAGGAAGGTTGGGCAATCCTACTTCCGTAGTGATACTGCCTTGGAAACTCAAGGAGGGGTCGCTATGAGTCGGGTTTGACTCGATGGCACATAACAACAACAACAACAATTGTGTTGAGACCCTTATTTGAATTGAATTCACTTTGAAGCTATTTACATTAGTAATATATGCTTGTATGTTTGTGTGCGTGTGTGTGTACACACACACACACGTTAGCAAATGTAAAAGTAACAGAACCGAATCATTACATTTGGTTTACTTAAAAATTTCATGTTGCAAATGAAGAAAAATCTGGTTCTTTTCAGGGTAGATTCCAAAAAGTCTGGGCAGACATGATTAAGGTTGTTTTGAATTAATGGACGTTGAATTTGAATTTTATACTGCTTCCAACACCACACCCAGAAAATTAATAGGATTTGTGTCTCATTGAACGTGTATTTTTACAGTAGATATATTTATAGACTTTGCTGACCACATTAAGGATCATAGAAAGACTGTAAGAAAGCTTTTTTTTAAAACTGTTCTTTTTCTGGATTCTATCTCCTTGTTCAGTGGACTGAACAGTTGTTTAAATGAACCACTACTTAGAAATTAGTTCTACAGGTATCTTTCAGAAATAGCCTAATTGGAAATAGGAAGGATACAGTTTAGAAATATGAAGCAAGGATCCAATCAAAGTGTTACAGGGTAAAGATGGAATTTTTAAGTCTGTATTTAAATGGTGCATTGTGATGGAAATCATTATTTTGAATTACAACTATGGTGCTCAGGAAATCAGTATTTTTCTTCCAAGTATGTGCATATTGCACTGTTAGATCATAGAAATATCTAAATGCTTTATTTAATTCTTTTTATATATGCAAATAGTATAAATCTTTTGTATATGTATTTTATACAAATGCAAATATAATTGTAGATTATGTTAGCATGTACATCTGTAAAACAGTGGTTTTTAAACTTTTGCCCCTTTTCATATTTTATGAGATCCTGCGAAATGTAATAAAGTTTCTATTTTATTATTCAATCTAAATGGTAGCTGTGGATTTAATTGAATAAAGCAAACTATACTTTCAAACTGTTTGACCAAGAGGTACTTCATAAAATAGATCAAATTGTTACAGGTTTACCAATTCAGATTTCCCACTTGTATCAAAACAAAATCCAATAGTTTATTCATAGAACATGAATGAAATGAAACAAATTTTAGACAAATGGTCTTTGGGGATCTTCCTCAGGGAAGAAGACCTTGTGAGGCATAATCCATGACTTCTTCATAGTAAGTCTTAGATCACAGTCATATAACACTATAACCAATGTATATGTAAAAATTATCATCATGAAACAAAACTGCTTCAACTTCCAGGATATTAATTTTTAGAAATTACCAGTAACAAAAAGAATGAAGAAAGTTCTTTGGATTTTTTTTTTTTTAATTTATCCAATGAAGGACTTTGTGCTATAATTCTTTTTTCCATTTTATAGAAACATCTTGAAAATTTTTGCTAACTCCTAAGCCTTAAACTAAGGAGCTCTGGTGGCACCATGGCTAAGGCATTTGAGAAGACTGGCAGTACAAACCCAGCAGCCACTCCATGAAAGGAAGATGGGACAATCTACTTCCATAAAGATTTACAACCCTCCCCTCTCAATAATGTATGCTCAACGAGTTCAGCGAGTTGAAATTGACTTAATGGCAGTGGGTTTGGTTTTTATAAGCCTTAAACTACATTAAGGTAAGCCATTTACACAGACATTTGGAGATGGTAAGGGAAGGAAAGATAGTTAATGAGATCATCTGAATTAGTATTCTCGTATCCGATGAAGGAGTCTTGATGGTGTAGTGGTTAACTGGCTGCTAACCAAATGGTTGACAGTTTGAACCCACCAACTGCTTTGCTGGAGAAAGATGTGGCAATTTACTTCCATAAAGACTATATAGTCTTAGAAACCATACAGGGTAGTTCTACTCTGTCCTGTAGGGTAGCTATAAGTCAGAATTGACTCAGGAACTCCACCCCCTCTTCCCTAGGAATCCAGTAAGTACATAATAACAGTGATTACAGTAATATAACCAAACCCATTGCCACGTCTTTCTCCCACTGAGAGGCCTGTGGGTCTGAACCACCAACCTTTTGGTTGGCAACTGAACACTTAACCTGCTGCACCAGTTGCTCCTTATACTAACAGTGTCTGCCAAATGTCTTAGTTTGCTATCACAACTTTTTCCCTAACCACATATCTACAGTTTTCTTTTGGTGGTGGTGGTGGTTTATTCAAGACTATTTGATACCTGTTCAATAAATTCAGAGTTATTTTCCTAGGTAAAATCCTTATTAACAAATTAATTTTTTCAACAATAACATATATTTAAGTAGGTTTAAAAGAAGACACCTTAATATGACACCTTAATATAAAACAAAGGACAATTTTATTTAAGATTTTAATTGTAAACAAACAAAAATAGCATTATAGGAACAAAAACAGTTTTGCTTATTATTATACTGTGATTTTAAAGACTTCACCAACAAGCAATATTTTAAAGTTTGTCGTCCTATTGTTAAAAACCTAAATGTGCAGAGAAACACCAGATACTACTGTAACATGTATTTATTGTGAATAGATAAGTGTTCATATCAGGCAGCAACCAACTGAAAGTATTGGGAAGGCGCTCCACAGAGGGGACAGTGAAAGCACAATAAGTAGGTGGGTCTGGGCAGGGTAGTCTCCTGAGGCCATTGTAAATCCCTTCCTTGTTGGTTTCTCAGAGCACATCCAAGGCTTCAGGGTCAGTCAGAGGTAAAAAACCATCATTAAGGACATGCCATATATTGCAAAACACAACTTCCAGTTAGATCCTGGAATTGCCTCTTCCAAATTGGCTACACAGATAATTCTCAAAAGAGCCCAATGCCAAAGGCATAACAGTCTCTGCTAAGCTGCTTACTAGGCTATTGTTTAACTTGAAGATGACTCCAGGAAAACCAACCAAAAAAAACCAAACTCACTGCCATCAAGTCGGCTCCGACACATTGCGACCCCTCCTTGTGTTTCTAAGGTGGAAGTAGACTGCCCAACGTTCCTTCCGAGGAGTGGCTAGTAGGTTTGAACTGCCAGCCTTCTGGTTAGCAGTCAAATGCCTTGGGTACCAGTTCCTTAAAAAAAGCTCAAGGTTCAAAAGGACAGGTAGCATAGTGGCTGAGGCCCTTGACTGCTAACCAGAAGGCTGGTGGTTCAAACCCACCAGCCACTCCTTGGAAGGAAGATGGGACAATCTACTTCTGTAATGATATTGCCTCAGAAACCCAAGGAGGGGTCGCTATGAGTCAGGTCCGACTTGACGACACATAACAACAACAACAAGGGCAAATGAGCTGGGTGGGTCACCCCAACTTAGGGGCCCAGAAATCTGGATTCCAGAAGAATTTAAACAGCTTCTCACTATAGAATACTTTCACAACCTCTCAGATTTTAAGCTAGAAAAACAAGACTCATGCTGGTAATACACCTACAGATAATTCCTGCTTGTTCTTTGCACTATCAGCCTACTTCAGAACTGTAAAATCTAGGAGCAGACAATGCCCATAAAAAAGATGGCTGGGATCCTCCATGAGTAAATCCTTGCCCAAAGCTAAGTCTTATCTGCAGGACTAAACTGGTGAAGACAAATTGAAAGGGAATGAAAAACTTTACCTTCAGTGTATTTGTCCAATTCAAGAAGTTGATTATCTGCAGATTTATATATAATAAAGCAAATTAAATAGAACTGTAGAGAGAAGATTTCTATGAATAATAATATTAGGCTAAGGTACTTAAAAATGAATAAGGTAAATGAATACTGAAGGAATGACAGACCAAAGAATTGATATATTTGTTGACGAAGAATATGGACTGTCGGAAGAATGAACAAATTTGTCTTGGAAGAAGTAAAACCAGAATGCTTCTTAGAAGTGAGGATGTCAAGACTTCATCTCATGTGTTTTGGATAGTTATCAGGAGAGACCAGTGCCTGAAGAAGGACATCATGCTTGGTGTAGGGTAGAGGATCAGTGAAAAAGACGAAGACCTTCAGAAAGATGTATTGCCACAGTGGCTGCAACATCACGCTTGGTAGGGTAGAGGATCAGTGATTGGGAGGATGGTACAGGACCAAGCAGTGTTTTGTTCTGTTGTACAAGGGGTTGCTGTGAGTCAGAGCTGACTCGACAACACCTAATACAACACTGAAGAAGTGAGAGAATAAAACACCTATTTTTATTCGCAATCCTAAGTGACTTTCTTTGCCCATTACCACTGAAAAGTTTGTGTAGTTTTCTGAGTACAGTAGATTGCTACTTTAAAGTACACTTGTTTTATTAATGTTTTCCATTTAGAACCTTTTAAATTTTTGATAAGCTCTTTTACCATGAGAAGTAATTCACACATAATCAACACAGCATCAACCTAGCAATGGTCTTCACACTACCTTAAAATATTTGAGAAAGTATTTGCCATTGGAAGTAATTTTTTTCCTGAGAAAGTCATGTTACAAAATAGCACAAGACAATTTAAATTTCTTCAGTTTTCCCCATCATAATATGAGAAAATCAAATTACAGTATATTTTGTGAGAAAAACATGCTTGTTTTTTAAATCTCTGTTTTCTGTCATTTTCCAGCTACAATTTTTTACAGGATAAGAAACTAAATTAAGAAGTGATGATTTCTATAAGATAAGAGAATGAATACATGTGGAAAATTTTGGTTGAAGTTTAAACAACTTTTATAGGAAATTTTTTATAAATGGAATAACTAAGGCACAGAAAACTTAACCAAGCTCAGTTTCAAGGTTGAGTCTAATAGGTAGAAATAGAATCTAGGTCTCTGATTCTCAGGTTACCTGGTAGTGGGCAGTATTTTACAAAGGGGAAAATTATTTCTTCTGGTGGGTAATATTAATAAATTGTTTTTATAGTATATAATATCAATTTCCTTGAATATCTTTGGCATTTGTTACAGTCTTTGGAGGCTGAGGTTTTTCGGTATTTTCCCCCAAAATTTTATAAAAAGATACAGGAGGGCTAGTTTTTAAGTTTAAAAAAAAAATTATTTCAAAATTACCTGAGTTTCAGTCTGCATTATTATATAAGTCACCTGTATAGTTTTATGAGTCCTGTGAAACAGAGGGCACTAGACCTCACAGGTGTGTAGAACTTAATTCACTAAAATGTCTCAGTCTGATTTTTCATTAAGCCCAACTATTCAAAGATGTCAAACTTATTAAAGTAGGATGATTAATTCATATATGACTGAAGTTAGCCCCATATTCAAGTATTTATACTCTTCACCTAGGTGAATGTAACTTTTCACTGTTTGAGATGTGTGCTGTGAAATTTATATAGCTCAGATTGGCCCTTTTCCTGGTCTACTTTCCTTTAATCATAGAACTTCTGATCTCCAAACTTTGTACTTGTAAGAGCTCAGGGAGATTTACATAGTCATAATATAGCAGTACAGAACATACTATGTAAAAATAAAAAAAGTTATTTTCAAGTTTCTTTGTTTTTAAAGTGCTCCGTGTGCAGTTTTAAATCAACTTTTACACTACAGAAATCCATTATGATGACTAGTAATAGTTTTACAAATGATCAAAAGTTAAACAAGAATAATTTGTTCAAGTATGTATGCATAGATTGAGAGATGCAAAGGCTCTTTAGGCACAATCCAATCCAAACAAGACTTTAAAAATCCACTTGGATACATAAAAGGACAACAGAGGTGTTACAGGGAATGTCAGAGCATCAAAGATCAATTTGTAAGCTAACTACTATGTAAACAAAGTGGTTCTGAAAGTTTTGGTAACAGTTGTCCAACGCAACAGGAACAAAAATGAATACTTACTTACTCCTTATCAGAAATAAAAAGGAAAACAACCCTGTCCCTATGTCCATAAACTGTACCATAAAACTTTTTTGAGAAATACCATAGCTAATAGGTTGCTTCATCCATGTTGTCATCACTGTCTGCACCAAAATCATCTCCATCTTCGAAGTAAGAATTAATGTAGTCATTTTCCTAAGTGAAATGAAATATTTCTCAGTAAACATTAAAATGAATAAGCAGTAACATTATTAAAGAATACAATGTAGGCTGTCCAATTAGTCTAAACTTATAAATATCAAATTTAGGTAATAAAATATTCCACGTGTAAAAAAAATTCTGTTTAAAAAACATACTGGCTTTCACTAACATCCACCTGTACCCATTTTCTTCTTCAATACTACCACCTCCTACTGTTTATTCTCTTGGTATCATACAGCTAAGAAAATATGAAGGGTTTCCCAATATACCTTCTAGATATAAGTATCAAGAGTTGGGTAAACTACTAAACCCTTATTTCACCAAATGCTCAGACACTCCAGAAACATTCATTAGACTACACAGAAGTGAGGTGTTTTGTCACAAAGCAAACTGAACATAAGCAGAGAGACATTTTACTTATTATAAAAAAAAAAAAAATCCTCAAGATAACCAATCCAAACCTGGAGCATGATATATTACATTCCACCCAGGTTCTTCATAGTTTCCTTCAGATGAAGAGGGATTAGGGCCCCTGGGAACATTCCAGTTCTCATGGTGGAGTAACACTATTAGCCAGTAAATGACTTAGAAGCTATCTATGTTTTCTATCTTTAACGAATTAATTAAAAAATCCATTTTGGGTATAGATCAAAATAAATTGAAGAGCGTTATCAACCAGTTGCTGCTGTGTATGGACTGTATGTGGATTCTGGTTGGAACAAACTAATTAAAAAGTGTTTTGGTTCTGTTGTACATAGGGTCGCATGGAGTCGGAGCTGAGTCGATAGCACCTAACAACAACAACAATGTTAATTAAATTGTCAAATAGAGTAAAGAAGCTAACTTTAAATTTAGTTCCTTTATAGGAACACCCTTTCCATTCCTCATC